TGGTCCGATTTTAAAAATTTGTTTCATGTAGATAGGTATTGATAATAAGAGCAAGCCCTCATTTAAAATTTTACAAAATATAAGGTTGTCAAAAAAGTCCTGCGGTATTTTTATTGAATTTCAACTGTTCATAAAATAGGTTACAATAATGCGATTTAAGTCAAATATGCGCCGTTTTGTTCGATGACGCTTTACCAACGAGATGCCAACTTCATAATGCCCACCTTATAGAAGCTTGCTTTCCTATTGGCAAAATTTTCGGTGAGCCAATTTTCACAAAACTCTCTTGTGGCTAACTTTAGACTAACCAAGCGCGTTCGCCATGGACAGAAACAGGTGGTAATCAACTTGGTGCGAGATTCGGACTATACGGTGGACGAAAAAAAACCTCTCTCCCGGAGCTTCTGGCGCGTCACCAAAGATGTGTGTGACCTGGCGTTGACCTGATGGAAGACAATTCGGCATCTGTTGATCAAAGATGTCCTCTTCTGCATGAGTCCTGCCTTCAAGCGGTCCAGTTGTTGTCAGTACATGTCCGAATTGAGCGTTTGGCCATAAGGGAGCAGCTCATAGTGGATGATGGATAGTGCCAATCCCACCAAACACACAGAAGAACTTTCCTGGCCGTCAATCCAGGCTTGGTCACCGTCTGGGCCGCTTCACCGCCTTTCGACCACGACCGTTTGCGCCTTACGTTGTCGTAAGTGACCCACATTTCATCGCCAGTCACAATACGCTTCAAAAACGGGTCGATTTTGTTGGGATTCAGAAGCGATTCGCATGCGTCGATACGGTCAAAGATGTTTTTTTGCATAAATTCGTGTGGCACCCATACATCGAGCTTTTTAGTGACTCCAAGCTTCTTCAAATGGTTTATAACGATTTGATGACTCATGCCAAGCTCTTGACCAATGCTACGGCTGCTACTATGCCGCTCTCTTTCGACCAATTTAGCGATTTTATCGCAATTTTCGACGACAGGCCTTCCGGAGCGTGGCGCTTCTTCGACCACCTCTACACCAAAACGAAAATTTTGAAACCATCGTTGTACGGTCGAAATGGAAACTGTACCGGGTCCATAAATTGCACTAATTTTATTGGCGACTTGAGATGCATTTTTGCCTTTATCGTAGTAGTACTGTAAGATATGCCGTATTTTCTCTTTATTTTGCTCCCTGTTTGCGACGCTATAACTCACGAATTACTGAAAAGAAATAGCAATCAATCAAACACGTGCAAACGCGTGAAAAGAGCTTGAAAAAAAAACAAACTTGCGCTGCGTAAGAAGCTCAGGAATCATGCCAAATCCCAGTTTTCAGGCTTTTGTAGTTTCCGAGATCGTTCTGGTGGCTTTGCTAAAAAGATGCTTATGTTAATAAAACGTAACCAAATCCTTTTGTCCAGAACTTACTTTCTTTGTGAGAACACGCCCGGCAGGTTGTCCATGTAGGCAGCAAAGTCCCACTCGGCATGTTCCCTCCCACTGCAATTCTGTAGTGGATCTCCTTCAGCACTTCAACTATTTTGCGGATTTGTCCTGTTGTGGTATTGCTTCCTGTACGTGAAGTCCCACAATAATATGCAACAGATTGAAATAGGCGTCCTTTTATATATGCACTGATCTCCTGCAGTCGTTTCTTGGGTTTTCCTTCCATTTTTAATTTTTCAGTTTTCACACCGTTTTTGCACGAGCACCGCCAAAGATTACATTTCTTATTCTTTGGACCGCGGCTAACGGCGTTCACTGAAAATTATTTTTTCTGGCATTCGGCTTGCCGAAGTTAACTTCCTTTCTTGTTTCCATTAAATTATTAAAGAAAATGCCTCTTTGCAAAAAATGTATTACACTTCCAGCTTCTGTAACAATAGTTGTATTCTTGTTTTCTTTAACAATTTTCTTTTTGAAACGTGGGGATAATGTGGAGCCTAGTCTTGTATTCTGTTTGAATAAATATTTCATGTCCTGGATAACATTTTTTTTTGTTTTGTTGGCAGGATTGCGTCGCGGCAATGGTAACGATGGTTACTGCTATGCCGGACCACAGCCGATGCTGAGGTGGAGAATAGTCGACCATAGTTTATTTTAAACTATCGATAGTGTCAATAGTGCCATCGATAGTGGCTCGATAGTATAGCCCAACAAAAAATTTTTTTTTAAGCAAATATAATAAAATTATGCTTTATTTTAACTAAGTTACGATTTAAAAATAGAAAATGAAACGAATAAAAAACGAATTTTTTGGCCCGCCTTGCTGAATGTTCTTTCAGACTCCACGGACGTAGCCGGAATGCAAAGATATTTGGCGAAAAGGCTCGCAATGGCAGGGAAATCAGTTTGATTCACCTGGAAAAAAATAATATACTTAATTATATGCAATTTATAACTCGGCACTTTTAATTAAGGCATACTTTCATTCTTAATAGAGGGTCGATATCTTGTCCGACAATTGGCCCTACAAGATACTACCTCTTAGTTAAAATTGCATCGACTCTTGAGTTTACAACTTTATTAATGGAACGCTGTCCTGTAAACTTGAATCCGATGCTATAGGTTGATTACTTGCGGTCTGTTTAACTGGAAAATTGCCCAGCTCATTTTCAAAAAATGTTGCTGCTAGTTCAGCGCTTTAGCTATGTTGAAATCCACTTTTTTTTGAACTGTGGATCCAAAAGCGTAGCCATCCTGCAAACTGTTCTCTGCTCATAAACGGAAAGACGTTTCTTGATTGATTCCATCAATATTTTGTTTAAAGTTTGTCCTTGAAGAGTTTGTAGCAAAGGTACAACACTTTCGATTTTCCGAAAAAGTCCATAGTCATGGGAATAATAAGCGATATCCTTACGTATTTTCCGCCAGAAATTTTCTCGCTTGCTTGCTGAAAGAAGGCCAATACTTTTTCAATATCATTCAGCATAAGTATTTCCTCAGCAGTAAATGGCTGCGGTGCATTCGTTGTTGATAGTAAAACTTTGGCAATGGCTTCGTTCATTTTCATAATACGCTCAATCATGAAATAAAAACTATTCATCCTAGTGGGTGTTTCTTGCAACAAATTATATTCTAAGCCTTCTTGAGCTAATTTGAGCTTTTCATTTGATATAGTGCTTTGCTTGAAAAATCGAACGATTGATTTACACTTAGTAAATAAAGCTTGAAGCACTGGGTCATCAACTTGCGAATATACAATAGTTCACATGCTTTAAGCATGGATCTGGCATTGTCGGTAACAATACATACAGTTTTTTCCAGAATGTTCCATTCAATAAAAACGTCCCACAATGTATCAGCAATGTTTTGTGAACAATGATTAGTTGTGCTTAGAAGTTTTTTTGTTACTAAAGATGCTGTTTTTAATTCGTAGTTATATACGAAATGACCCGTCACAGTCAAAAAACTAGCTTTGGCACTTGATGTCCACAAATCACACGTAACTGCGATATTCGAAACACTTACAAGTATTGCTGATAACTTGGCAGAACTTTCGGTAAAATATTTATACATCAGCACATCTCTTAAGTGCGTATTGCTGGGTAATTTATACCGAGGATCCAATACATGAGTGTATTGCACGAACCCTTCGTTTTCTACAATATTGTAGGGCTGCACATCTTTGGCAACCATTTCAGTTAGAGCTTTATCTATGCCAGTCCTTCTTTTAGAATTTGAATCATACACGACGGCTCTTTTAAAGTAAGACGCCACAGAGTTCATGCTCGATCTGCAACTGCTGCTTGTAGATGCAGTGTCGTTCCTCTCAGAACGTTCAACTTGTGTGCTCTATTCTGGGCTCTTACTTTCCACGCCAGGATGGAACCCATTTAAATGGTTGTACAAGTTAGATGTATTGCCGCTTGTTTTGTATTCTTTGCCACAATCGAGACATTTGGCATATTTCTTGTCGTCGGACCTTTTAAAATATTTCCAGACATGTGAAATTTTCGACTTCTTTTTGTTACTCTGTCGATTTGGTTCCAAGTCTTATTCAGAGTCTGTGCTGGGGGAGCACTCACAGTCCGGCTTGTCGGCACTTGATGAAGACACTCGACGTTTACCTTAAATTTAATAAATTATAGATCAAAACACTTATGTATATAATATAGTAAACATACCCATATTTAAAACGCGATCCATAACAATTTAATTAATTTCTTCTTGTTTTTCAAGTTTTCCTTGTTTTTTGCAATTGACGCAGACACAGAAAATGCGCGAAAATTTTTTTTAGGGATGTAAGAAGCGCACTATCGATGGCACCATCGATAGTGGATGGGCCACTATCGAAGGTGTCTGCTGCCATCGATGGTGGCTCGATAGTGCCAAACCATCAATAGTGGCGATAGTGCCATCGATAGTTCTCCACAATAGTTCTCCAACAGTACTTATGTTCCCAACTTGGCTACTGCTTGATTTGTTGGGTGCTGGTCATGTTAAGCACTCTTGGGTACGAACACAAGGCTTTAGGTTTCCCGTCCAAAAAATACTCGAGAGTTTAGTGTTTCTATTAACATTAAACATAAACATAAAATTACATTGTATGCTGTTAAGGTTGCTTAAAATATATTATTATAGAGTGTCAATCTGATTTTTTGCGTGCGAGAGGGATGGACATATATTATACATTTTTACGAGCCGCCATATAGGATTCACGCCTTGTGGCGTGTTAGTAAAAACAAACAGTCGATAGATATGAACTATATGTGGCGTTTTTGTAGCCGAGTAATGGCGCGACTATACCGTTTTCTCTTGTTCTGTTTACACTTTTTAATATAAATCTGTTGTGTACTAAGGTATTTTTCCTCAAAAACGATGTTTTTCAATAAACGCCATTTTAGACCACAAGCTTGTTCGGCGACATTTATTACAGTCTTTTAAAAATGATGTTCCCCATACTTCACTTATTTTATCGCTATGTGAACAGCCATTTACAGTGATATACGTTTTTTCCTATTTTAAAGTTTACTTTGCAAAACATAGCTACAAATTAAATTCTTCAAAATTGCAGGTACAAAACGATCGTCGTTTTCTAATGAGGCTTGCGGAGCAGCACCACGTGCATATCGAAGAAGTGGACAACTATGTAAATCAGGTGATCGAGGACCTACGAAAAAACGGACAGTTTGATATTGAACACCTGCAAACATGGCAGAGAGTGGAAAGAGACTATATTAAGAGTCTGATTGCCGAGTACAAAAATGGGCTGTCTACTACTGAGTACGAGGAAAAACTGTTAGCAGACCGAGCCCATTTAAATAACCTCGCTGATCAATACCGCCTGAACGTGGAGCAGATCGAGGAGTGGATGATCGCGGAACTAAAACGTCTGCGGGGCAGTACGGAGGAATCTCTAAATAGCCTTAGCGCCTGGCAGGCTTCCGAATTGGAGCGCTTGCAGGGTTTGATTAAACAGCAGAATCATCTAACCTACGTGGAGTTCGAGATGGAGCTAAACAAGGAACGGGAGCGCTTGGAGAAGCTGGCAGGCCAGTATTCCGTCAACATCGTAGAGATCGAGGAGTGGCTTCGTCAACAGTTGATAAATCTGCGAACCACGGGTCAGGCAAAGGTAGACAATTTGAGCAAGTGGCAGGTGGATGAGCAACAGCGCTTAATAGAACTACTGCTTAAAAAGCAGCAAGAGATGCCATACGAGCAGGTGGAGAGAGAGCTGTATCAGGATCACGCCCGTCTTCAAAGCCTTTCACAGACTCATCACGTGGGCATCGACCAGGTAGATCAATGGTTGAGGGACGAGCTACTGCGCCTGCATAACTCCGGTCTCGTTCAATTTGAGAAGCAAACACAGTGGCAGGAGAAAATCAGCAACGGATTTAACTACTGGCTGCGGCAGCAGCACAATGGGACTAGCTATCAAGATTTTGTTGACTTCCTTAAACGCGACAAGCAGCGGATGGACGGCATCGCGACCGACTACCACGTGACAGTGGAGCAGGTGGAGAAATGGGTAAGAATCGAAGACCATGAAGCATTTGTTTGTTATCAAATATGTTATAAGAATTAACACAGCCCAACACCAGCATAACCTGCATATCTTATCCAGAGTCTTAAAAACGATTCACAATATTTTTTTAAAAAACTATTTTTTTTTGCTTTGTGTTTTTATAAGTTCTCCCATGTGACGTCATGTGATTTTGTTTTATCGTTTTGACGATTTATTTACAGTAGTGTTCGTAAGACAATTTAGACTAAAAAGGTGGAGCTAATATTAGCAAGCCTATTCCATTTATAAGTGATTCAGCAGTGCCAGGGCAAAGATTTGTGGAAAACGATGTCATAAAAGTTTATACAAGTTAGAACAAGGAAGATCTGTGTAGTAGAGTGCTTGGACTATAAGATCCCCGTTAATCAGTTAAAGGAAGCAAAAGAGAGATGGAGATATTCAAGAAGCAAAACGAGATTGTAAAGCGCTACCTACCCGCGATATCAATATATGGTAATGTGGGTGGTAGACAGATTAAAGCGTTATGTGCGTTTATGGGCGTTAGAGTGGCAAACTGTTCTTAGTTATATTTTTTTAACTATAAAATTGTAAAAGCCCAAGATTTGTGTGCGTGGGTGTCAGAGTGAGCTTGGCATGTTCGCATACAAAATTTGCGCTGCGTACAAATCTAAGGAATATAAAACTAAATCCCAATTATCTATCTTTGATAGTTTTCGAGATATCCGCGTTCATACTTAGGATTTTTTGAAGCTGTGGGCGGTTAGATGAGCGTTGATTGATTGATATGTGTTGATTTAAAAAATAAATTTCAGTTTAAATTTTTTTCTAGCTTTTTGGTTTTGGGCGGTTTTCGGGCGTGTTCAATGAGTGAACCTCCCTATCTTTATTATAACATCTCTTGGGGTTATATGCCTTAAGAAAACCCTCTCGACCAGAATATCATACAATCTAACATTAGCCGAATTGTCTCATTTAATAACAAGAAAGGAAGTTAACTTCGGCAAGCCGAAGTTTGCATTGCAGTAAAAATTGTTAAATTTAATTCAAAATTCTTAAAAATACAAAAAATGATTTTCCCAATAGTATAAGATAACATGTAAAAAAAATAACCGAAGCTATACCTTGTTTCATATTATTTTCGCACCATTTTTCCGATCGTTCCTCTGGAGGCTATAAGATATAGTTGTCCGATCCAGCTTATTCCGACTTATATACTACCTGCAAAAGAAAGAAGATTTTTGGGAAAGTTTTAGCCCGATAGCTTTAAAACTTAAAGACTAGTTTGCGTAGTAACGGACGGGTAGACGGACAGACGAATATATATACTTTATGAGGCCGGAAACGTTTCCTTCACTGCGTTGCAAACTTCTGACAGAAATCATAATACCCTCTGAAAGGGTATAAAAACCGGAAAATAAAATAAAATGAATAACATAACAAAGTTAATTACCCTGAAAATGCGAGCAAGGAAAAATTGAAGGGCGCGATGTACAACTACAAGAAAAGAAATGAAATGAAAGAAAGCGAATGAAGTAATGTAGAAAAATAATAAAAATAACCATCCTAATGACCACAGTTTTCCGATGTCGACCAGGTCGAGCGACTGCAAAGTTCGGCGAGTGCCTACTTAGAATTCTCATCCGAATTCGCCGCGAATAGAGAGTGCATACAAATTAATTATCGAATTTCAAGTCAAAGAAATTCACTTAACTTCCACAGTCTATGCCCTCTGGTGTTTTTTAAGTTTCACATACACACGGGCTATTTTCCTTTTTATACCCTTGCAGAGGGTATAATGATTTCAGTCAGAAGTATGCAACGCAGTGAAGTCACGTAGAAACGGCAATGCGGGAAAAGAGAGTTTAGAGAATGCAGTTGGAGAGAGTTGGGAGAGCACGAGAGAGAGTTTGGAGAGTACGGATCACGAGAGTTTGGAAAGTTTGAATATAGAGAGTGTGGAGAGAAGTAGCGGAGAGGCGATAGAGCGAGACAGCAGTAGTATGACCGAGACAGCGAGAGAGCGCCCGGCGTGCCGAGTGCGAAGGAATTAACGGTACATTGCCTCACTTTGGCCTTTAGTGCTGTGCCGTGCGAAGAGCGCGAAGGGTCGAATGGTAAGCCCGCGGACTTTGGACTCTGATATGGTGCCTTGAGCAGAGGGCCAAAAGCAGAGGCATAGGATTAACGGTAACAGAAGGCCTATATAAGCGCTAGAAGCTTGACCGGTCATTGCGAGTTAGAACGTGAGTGAACAAAGTCAAGCAAAGTCAAAGTCAAGGAGATACAGCCATGAAGGTAGGCAGGAGCAAGATCGCTACGACGAGACGTTCGTAAAAGCATAAGTCGAATTGAGACCCAAGTAGCTGATACACAATTACAAATACGCGGCTAATTTGAGTGAAGACTCGTTCGACTGTTGCAACTTGCAAGGTCTGCTGTAGCTACGTCAGACGGTTGTCCTTATAGTTGAGAAGGAATTGAGCAGGCGTAGCACCGATTCATCCTGTCGACAATGATGTGGAGTAAATGGATTGTGTCGCCCGACGGATGTCTGGAAAGCGCAGTCGTTGACTTCCTTGAGTCCGGTATTGGAGGCTATCAGAGGAAACTCGGTCAACTGTTATGAGGAATGATCTGGGTACGTCAGACGGTTGCCCGAATAGTTAAGCGGGAATTGAGCAGACGTAGCACCGGAATCCTGAAACCCAGTTACGCAGAACATCGCAAAGCAAGTCAACTAATTATACCCGTTACTCGTAGAGTAAAAGGGTATACTAGATTCGTCGGAAAGTATGTAACAGGCAGAAGGAAGCGTTTCCGACCCCACAAAATATATATTCTTGATCAGGATCACTAGCCGAGTCGATCTAGCCATGTCCGTCTGTCCGTCTGTCCGTCTGTCCGTCTGTCTGTCCGTCCGGATGAACGCTGAGATCTCGGAAACTATGGGAGCTAGGCTATTGAGATTTGGCGTGCAGATTCCTGAGCTTCTTACGCAGCGCGAAAACCTGTGACGCCCACAATTTTCATGCTAGATAAAAAATTTTAACTGAAATGTATTGGTCTCGTCGATACCTATCGATTGATCCAAAAAAAAATTTGCCACGCCCACTTTAACGCCCACAAACCGCGAAGACCTGTGACGCCCACAATTTTCATGCTAGATAAAAAATTTTAACTGAAATGTATTGGTCTCGTCGATACCTATCGATTGATCCAAAAAAATATTTTTTTAATCTCGCTTTGCTGCTTGCATATCTCCATATAGCTGAGTAACGGGTATCTGATAGCCGAGGTACTCGACTATAGCGTTCTTCCTTGTTTCACAGTGTTATTATACTTGTTACTCGTAGAGTACAGAGCAAAGGTTAAAAAATCTGACAAAAAAACTTTTTGACATATTTTTTAAACCATTGTATTTAGACAAATTACGTCATTTTAAAGTTCAAATGATCACCTTTTAAAAAAGTGTCATTCGACTGGTGTTTTCAAAAAAAGACAACAAGGATAATTAACTGGGTCACTTTTTCCCAACAGATCAAATTTTCTCAATTCTTACTTTTACACTTTCGCTGCTCTTTTTTCGAAAAAATACATGCAGACACATGCATTTTCTGTTGAAGCGTGCCGAATGGTTAAATTTAAGGAAGTGTGTCCACTTAGTCGAATACCCTTTACCCTTGTTTAGAGGTGATTTTGCGTGATATCAGAAGTTTTTGTTTTAGCGATGAACAATTTAACACTAACTTACAAAAAAAAAAAAATTTTTTCTGCTTATCTTTAAAACTACTTTTCTAGACTACTTTCTTCCACACTTTCTTCCTGTACACGCTGGTATTATTCAAAATTTTTTGCAACGAATCGTTCTTGAAATATTCGGGTAAAGCATGTTGTTTTCATGTTGCTTGACTAAAGAGCGAATATCATAGAATCCAATTATCTAACTGTTTGGCAGTTGTCACAACCTCAAAGTAGCAAGATGTACCTTTCCGAGGACCCGTAGAGTAAAAGGGTATACTATATTCGTCGGCAAGTATGTAGCAGGTAGAAGGAAGTGTTTCCGACTCCATAAAGTGTATATATACTTGATCAGAATAACTAGCCGAGTCGATCTGTCCGTATGATCGCGGAGATCTCGAAAACTATATAACTTAGAATGTTGGGACTTTGCTTGAAGATTGGAAGTTTGGTTCCGCCGGGTGCCATGCCCACCTTAACGCCCACAAATTTAAATGGAGTTATGTTCTCATTAACAATATATATCTACATGCTACAAACTATTAAAATCGGACAAGTCAAAAAAAGTTACAACCAAATAATAATCAAAATTTTGCAATTCAATCGAGATAACACACCACATGCAGAAAACCATTTGCATCTCGGATAACCTCTTTTCGAAATTAAGAGAGATGCCATTTGATTTTTTTACTAAGAATCGGAGGAAAATTTATAACTTGAACTGCTTCGGTTGAGAGTAGAAGAATCTTTCCGGAGTTGCATCCAACTGTAGTCACTCATCATTCCTTCGTCCCAAAAATTGTGATAACGCTTCTCAAATTGAAGATATCTTGATCAAATCTTTCTCCCTGTTCATAACTTTCTTCGTCCAAGCTTAATAAAAACAAGTCCAAGTGATTGCTGAAAATGCACATTCGGTGGTTTTACCAAATGTGGTAGAACTAAAGTTTCCTAAATGGACCTGTTTAAGACCATTTAATTTTTTCAAGACCTTAAAATAGAGCTTGGATACAGCTCGCGCCAAGCTCGCGAGTTTATCAAAAAGTAGTGAATTGAAGTTTCTTATATGAAGCTTTTTAACATCATCCTAATGCACACAATGTTATCCCTGCTCATCAATTTGGATTTCGTCAAAACCATGGAACAATCGAACAAGTTAACAGAATAACATCAGAAATACGCACAGCCTTTGAGCATCGGGAATACTGCAGCGCAATATTCCTCGATGTATCTCAAGCCTTCGATCGAGTATGGCTAGATGGCCT